GCATGAATAGCTCCTTGAACGGGACTGTTTGTGTACATAGACGCAACTTCAAAACTTACTATCCTATTCTTTTCTGAAAGTGTCTGCTGCTCAATCCATTTTTTAATTTTTTATAGTATACTGGACTCCTCCGGAGCCTATCTTCGACAATTATTCTGAAATAGTCTTGCGTTTATAACGATATGATATCTGTTAATGTAGGGATTCAAAAGTTATTTTAAAGAAAACTACAACAATTTTAGAAGGACTACTAACAATTTGGCTAGATCTGGATGTTATAAAATAATTTGACCCAATGCACATTGTTACTTTGGGGCGATGTGTTACTATTCGACTGTAGGCTTTTTTGTGTCGATTGGGCAAATATGACTAGAAAACGAAAAATCTCTTGTAGATCTCCATTATGTTTTTTTTAATTTTTTAAATATTTTATATGTCAGTTTATGTTTTACATAAATTAAGTTTGGCTTTTTTTCCTGTTTTTGTTTTGTTGTGTATGGGCTGCTTTCCCCTCCCTAATCATATTATCCTCCGTAATGACTGATGCTGGATTCTTCAAGGTTCTTTTTTGATTACTCTTATGTTCTTTTAGGGAACTAGCACGGACCAGGATGCTCGGTTTGCTGATAAGAAAAAGAAGCTGATGAAGAGCATGAAATTTGGAGATAACTTGGAGAGAAAAATCGATATGACCAAAATCAATCTCGAAACTTTGCGCCCATGGATAGTAAAGCGCATCACGGAGTTACTCAGCTTTGAAGACGAGGTGGTTTGCGACTACATCTTCAACCAACTCGAAGAAAGGGTAAGCTGCATGATTTTCCTCGTTCTTTCGCCACCCTTAGTCGTGTTATCTCTTTGATATCTAAAAAACGTGTTTACGCTTATCTTACCTTTTTTCAAAAGATATTCTTCGAATGCGTCATGTTACCCTGACAAATATATGCCGAAAGTCACTTGGTTCGAGTGAATTGTAATGAAATAGCTACTGGTAAACGTTTTGATTTGCTCTTTCCTATCTTGTGATAGTAGATAAGTAAATTTACTCAGCAAATTATCAGTCTCTTATTCCTGTAATGCCATAAAATTCAGTGAAAAAAGCATAATACCAAA